ATATTATTGATATTTACTCTTAATTTTGCATGATTCCTCCCTTAATTTTTGGACTGCAATTTTATTTTAGAATGTTATTTTATTCCATTACTTTTAATGGTAAGTAGATAAGTATTTAGTGGCTTTATTTTGTATAAATTTATGGGTTTATTTTAAATAAATATTATTGATATTTACTCTTAATTTTGCATGATTCCTCCCTTAATTTTTGGACTGCAATTTTATTTTAGAATATTATTTTATTCCATTATTTTTTTTACCATCAAAAACAACTCAAAATATATAGAAGAAAAATACGTGGCAGAGGTAGGACTTAAAAATTGGTCAGCGGCTGGGTCGTATGCTTAATGAGCATTTAAAATTCATTTAGACTTTTCACCTTTTATCTTTGTGTGCACAATGAATAAAATTAAATTTAATCCGCGGCCAGTCGCCGTCGCTGAGGGTGTCGACTACTGGTCTTGATAATATTTTTTTACCAACTGCTCTCGCTCGGTCGCTTTCTCTCTCTCTCTCTATCTCTGGTCTCTCGCATTCTCTTGCCCTTTGGTTCTTTACTCTCTCTACCTCTTTCCATCTTAATTTGAATAACTGAATTGTTAAGTGGACTGTCGGAATGATGGACCTGTATAGATAAGGAGTAGCGTAGCGCCAACCTTTTAATTAAATTTAATTGCCAAATGCCAGGGCCCCCCCAAAAGAAGTTGGAAAAAACTGTAGACTTTTGATGAAGTCAACTCGAAGGCAGATCCTCCAGAACGCCGCCCACACCCCAAATTGATATGTTGGAAGCAGTTTAAGTGGAAATTCTAAGAGAAGGAAGCAGGGTGTACACCCTGATGTGCGATTACCACAGTTGAGTAGAGTCCTCAGCAGCAGCACTTTCAGCTAATGCATTAATTTATCACACTCATCCCCTCACACACACACACACACACACACGCACTCTCAGAGGATGGAAAATCCAGGTGCTAGAGACAAGCGGCCACGTAACCGAGGGCAGAAAGAAGCTTTTGCATTTCAATGAAAGCATTTGTAAAATATTACTGCATACTTTGAGGCGGCCCCCGCCCACATGAGAGTCGCAGCCAGATAGGACTACAGACAGCAGGGACACACAGACACACAGGCATTTTTGTGTTTTTGTGTCGCACTCAAGTCACGTTTGCCAACTGGCAAAAGCTTCAACAAATGTTAAGCTCAAGATTTATTGAGCTACTTAAGTTGCTGTTGATGATGTTGCATGCCCCTCTGCCACTAACCCAACACCCCTACAGACAGGGACACCCACGTCCAATGAAAAAAAAAAAAAAAAAGGTTAACATTCGTTAAAACATAAAGAGTAAGAGTTCGATTATATATGTATATATACATATATAGATGTAGATGCCACATCGAACAAGACATAAAAGATTCATATTTCCATTGAAAAGTATTTCGAAAAACATTCCCATAAACATTCTCGCCTAAGACTCGTTTAATGAGAACAGCAATATTTCGATCATTATGGGGGGATGCTTGCTTTAACCTTTGCCTTCAATATTTTGCACCTTTAGCCAACAAGCAAATATTTATACCACGCAAACGAAACGTTTTGGCCATAAATAATGCCTTCGAGTGGGCTTCAAGCATATAAAAATGTATAAAATGAACATCAAGTGGCTGCTGGCTGCTAGCTGCTGCGTGCCAAACATTTCGAAATGAGCTTCAGGTAATTTCGGAGGCCATGCAGGTGGCAGTGGGATGCCCCAGACCAGGCTAATGGCCAGTGCTGTTGCTCCAATGTCTAATGCGTTTCATATGCAAATCCATACCAAAAAAAAAAAAAAAAAAGAAAGGAAAATAATGCTTATCTGTGGCACAGGGAAAATGGGAGCAAGGGAGCCGTGCCACATATGTTCACAATTTGTTGTCCATCTTCCGACCTGCTCGCCTCTCGCTCTAGCTCTCTTTCTCGTTTAGTTTTATTTTTTTTTGGTTTATTTTGTGAAACATTTTTACAATTCAATTGAATTGTGGCAAACTGTCCAGAAATGTGTTCGGGTAGATGTATTTTTTTTGCCGGTCCGGGGGACTCGCCACGGGCAAATTTGAATTGTCAAAATTGTAACGAGCTTTTCTGTAGAACCATTTCCAGTGACCCATTCACTCGGCTGCAATCCGGCAAGGGTTTCCATGGGCCATTTTGAAACCGTTTCGCTGACATCAACTGCATTGAAATGTCATAAAAATTGAAACACGTTCCTTCCACGTTCTGTTGCCCGTTTCCCCATCCTGCCGCAGCGGATCCTGTTCCTGCTACTCCTGCAACTCCTGGCTCTTGGCCTGACATTGAATGGCAGTTCTGGCCCCACTGTTACATTGTTGTTGTCGGTTTTTGGTTTTGGCCTGCTGCTTTGCATACAAATAACGGTAATCTTTAGCTAGCCATGCCACTGGTTCCAACCTGCCCCTGCAACCCAGACCCAGTACCCGTACCAATTCCATGCTCATCCTTACTCCTATATATCTCTCACTCTCCCTGGCACTGGGCTCTGCCTATGACGAGCTCCCAACTTGGTCCATTTCGCTGATGCTGCAGTTTTGCACTTTACACGTGGCAGTGCCTGGCAGGAGGTCGCGCTGCGGGCCATCACGTGTGGGCTGGTCATGGCTGGGTTAGAGCCACTCTCTCGCCTCCGAAAAGAAGGGATATTATGAAAATTTATTGTTTTACGTGCGAGTAATTTTGTGCAATTTTTGAAAGACTGCACCGAAAAGGCTGTCCTGCTGCAAATCAATGCGAAGGTTGCAGAAGCAGGAGGAGGGTCGCTGCTTTCCTGGCAACTCCTGCAGTTAATTATGGTGCGAGTGGCAAAGCCTCCCTTTCCCCCACAAAAATAGCGCCCAATGCATTTAATCTGGTATTTAAAATTACATTTGCCTGGCGCCTGGTTTCATTTGGTTTATTGTTGACTTAACATGGACCATTTGCCTGTCCCTGTGCTCTGACAATGAGCATTGTCGCTCAGTGGCTCTCGGGGTATTATGATTTTTACGAGATGTTTGCAATGCAGAGAGGGAAGCGTCTCTTTATTGGAGCTATTTATGGCTGCAGCTTTGATTTCTCCCCAATAATGTGGAACGCTTCAATTTGCTAGGGTATCAAATACTTCAGCGTGGATTTATATATCCTTTTAGCCTGTTGTATTTATTAGTTAAACACACAGGCAGAGTACAAAACGCTTTTGTTCAACAAATGACAATGCAAATAACAAAAGAATGGCTGTGGCAGAAGCGGCAGGAGGGATTCACAGAGAGACAGAGACAGAGAGAGAGATTCTTGTTTATTATGCAGCAATTACCATGGGGGCGTACGAGTATGGTAGTACGTGTTAAGCGTAGGCACAAGATAAATATTTTCCCTTCAACAATATTTGCTCTGCCTGCCACTCATCTTCCCCATACAATCAGCAATGGCCAACGCCACAGCAGCAGCCAAAGCACCAGGGCAGAAAAAACACACAAAAAACTTTGCCATAAGCAGAGTCTGAGCACAGAGCACAGAAAACATAATCGTGGAATTATCATTACAGATTTGCAGCTTTTGTTGCTTCATTTCGTATTCCCATTGGTGGTCATCCAAGAAACCAACTGAGTTGAGTGCCTTGCCATGCCGTGCCAAGCAGTTGCCGGACTGCCCCCAACTGTATCTGTAGCTGTATCTTTTGAATGCCCACGAGTCGCATTTGAGTTGTTTGGTTGGGCAAAGTTTTGTGTGCCCTGCTTTCGGTTCATTTGAATATTGTATAACTTAATGCAAACATAAACCTTTTTATTCTTGGCCATTTACCAACACAACTGTGCCTGTGCCGTGCCGCCTTCATGTTAGACACTTAAAGGCAAACGCTTGTCAGAATATAGTCGTAGTATTTAAATGCTTATCAAAACGAGTAGTTTCAAGCTTGGAAAGACAACATGTTGATCCTCTATTACAGATCCTTTATATATTTACAAGCTTATAAAAAGACTTTCAAATGTTTATGGTATTTTGTGTGTTTAGTGGCAGTCTAGAAATTCAAAGAAAATAATATTTATATTGAAACACACTTCTAAATTGGAACTTTTTATTAAAGTAATTTCAATTTATAGTAATTTATTTATAGTAAATTACTATAAATTAATCATAGATTTTTTTAAAGAAAATATATTATTCAAAAGTAATTCTTAGTTATCGTTGCATTGCTTCCTCGCCCCATCATCTGCTTCCTTTGTGACTTGTGTATAACCACCAACCAGGAAGCACTCTTTTCCGAATCAGGAAATACACGATAATTGCACTCAGTGCGTTAGTGCACCAATTTCTGTCTCATTTTTTTTCCAGTAGCAATTGAATTTCAATTGGATTACAATAATTCGCTTGTCGTTGATGGAATGAGTTTGAGAATGAGTAGGAGGAGTATGAAGAGGAGCAGTCAATGCCGGTGGAGTGCAGCTGTGTGGAGTGTGGATAGAGTGGCGCCCACTGAATTAGTGCGCTTTGTGTCATTAAGTCTCGTTTCAAGTTGGAAAGCATTTATCGAATATAGGGAAATGGGAAAATGGAAAGCCGGCAATCAAGTGAACGCACTCATCAGCAGCCAAAGGACGCAAACTATCCACTCCACTCCAGTGCATGCCGCCCCTTGTGTTGAATGCCTTTCCCCCAGAAGCCCTTTTCAATTTCGAACATTTTACTGGGTGTGGTGCGTGGCTCTACCCTATTTCTATTTCTATTTCTTTTTTTTTTGCCGGCTCTTTTAACCCCTTTCTGCCTTTGTGCGGCTTATCAAAAGTGCTCGGTCGTCACAGTCACTCGCAGCAGCAGCAGCAGCTTCTTTTGCTGTTATTTTATGCGCAAAAGGGCCAAAAACACGAATTCTTTTTCTCATTTCTTTTTTTTTTTGTACGCCGGTTAAGAGAACGTTTAAGCCCTAAAACGTTTTGCCAACGGGGCGGCTCAAAAAGTTGACAAAAAAAGAATTCGAAATTTATCCGCCAGACAAGAAGTTTTTTATAATTTGCGAAGGGTGAAGGGTATTCATATTTTGAATGTAGTTTTGCATTAAATTTTAGTATTGCATTGACATCCATGCAGCGTTGCATTTCAGAGACTTTTCTGTAAGAGAAAAGTTAAAAATATTTATGGAATATCTGCGAGATATTGAATTCTATTACAAGTCATATTTATTTTTGAATGAAAGACGAATGAAGGGGGATAAATTGTAGAGCAGCAGCTAGCTCTTCTCTTTCGCTATGCCACACAATTTATTTAAATTTCCCCGAGCCATGGTTGGGCGGGGCTATGCGAAGGGGAAGTCAACTTCCCTTTTAGAAGATTGATGACTTCCAGGAAGGACGAGCCACAGGTGTGAGTGTGTGAGTGTGTGTGTTTGTGTGTGAGTGGTGTGCTGCTCTTCATATTCCGTATTCTGTATTCCGTATTTATGATGAATTACCTGAGTCAGCTGGTCCATCCCCGTCTCCATTAGATTACTTTCCATCATGTCACGCTCACTTTCCTGGCTGTCAATAAGCAAATGGCAGCGATAAATCCTCCTCAACACCTGCCCCTCCTTCGTCGCCAAAGCAGACACAAAATATATTCACGGATTACATTGTAAAAGTTAGCTCCTAAACGTTGACATTTTAATTGAAATTTATTGGGCTTAAAGCGGCTTATTGTTGGGCTTGGCATTCCATACAATTTGAATGTCCATTCAACACCTGAGAGCGAGCAGGACGAATGAGCGGATATTGCAAATAAATTAAATATTCTATGAAGGAGAATCGAATCGAATTCCATTCATGAACAGCCCTGCCTGACAAATCCCCTTTTCCGAGTCGGTAGAGACAACTCAAGAAATGCAACACAGAACTGAATCGACATTGACAACGACAACGATAGAGAGCTATAAACTTGTACGATTATAAATCAAAACTTTCCATTTTCTTTTAGTTTTTCTTTGGATGCTGTCGGTTTGCTTCTGCTTGGCTTGGGTCTGCTGCTCCTTGGGAAACTTCCGGTGCCATCGGCTAGACAGAGGGAGAGAAAAAAAAAAGAATAAAGAAAATTCGACTTGGCGGGGCTAAACTTTGCACAGATGAAAAGGCAGGCGCAACTTGAAAGCGAATAAACGACAATTGATCGATTCCCAACTTTAGAGAAATGCAAAATAATGCGTATTAATGATGTTTCTCCTGCTGTCTACTATTCGCAGGCAACTTCTGTCTGTTAGTTCACCATTGACTAAAACGTTTTTCCATCTCTTAAATTTAAACACAAATTTAAAAGCTCTTCCACTAACAGCCATTGGCATTTATTTATAAATATATAAATTGTATGCTCAACAGTATTTATTATCACTTAAAATGTGTGCTGTATGTGTGTGTGTGTGTGTGTTTTTTGCATCCTAATGCATTTGTACATTAGTTAACAATTCCATAACTAACTTTTTTCCACCTGCCATTGCCCCTTGCCACCTGCAGTATTTGATATAAAAAAAAAAGTAGTACATACTGCTGCATGGAAAAAAAATGCAGATACATATAAAAAATAGTTGGGCAACTGGCCAAACCGCCAGAACAGCACAAAACAACAAAAAATAATCATAAATTACAGTTGTCAACTATTATGAGGGCACAACAAATGCAACAAAATGCCATTAAGGTTTTATGTACAACTTGTTTGGGGAATTAGTTGCCACTGAAATGAATCAGCAGACAAAAAAAAAAAAAAAAAGAACAGTAGCAGTGGAAACATTAAATAACGAGCGAACCGAACTATGAATAGACCTCAATTATGGTAGCCATTGACTTGTCTGAATAATTTATCCATTGGACATCTATATTAATTAAGCTACCACGTAATTGTTGTTGGCAGCTTCATACAGAAATTTATTAAATTAAATTAACATCCATTATCACACAACATTTTTATAGCCACTTTAATCGTCCATTTATCAACTATTAAACTACAAAATCAGACTCATCTTATGCCACAGAAACACACAATCTATCGCTCTTTCTGAAGCACACCCTACCTCCCTCTGAACACACACGCTGCCTCTCTCTTTCTCTGAAACAGAATCAACTTGTTGAAGGGAATAAAAACAATCAATTCAATTCAATTAAAGAAGAAATACACCTAAAGGCAAACACTGCCCACTCATAAAAGACACCAAAAAGGAGAATCTGTTCGGTGACACTCGAAATTAGCCACGTGGCAGGCTGCCACCAGATATGCCTGCTGGCCTCCGCCGCTCCAAGCGAGACTCTTTCCCGCAGGATATGTGTAAGTATGTGACACACACATTCTGGTGTGTGCTTGGTGTATGCCTGGAATGATAATGAGAATTCACAAAAATTCCCCGAATTCTGTTTAGTTCATTTTGGCACACGCAAAAGGTTAATTAGCCAAAACAGAAAATGTTTTATTAAATGTTTAGGAAAATGTAACCCAAAAAAATAAAGGTACGCCATCGCATCACTTGCGACTTCCTCCATACCACAAAGAAGGAGAAACGAGAGCGAACAAATAAGCTTCATAATCAGGCACTTAATTATCCAGTAAGTTTTCACTAATTGGTTGGCTTAAAGTCAAGTCGAGGGCAGGTCCTGCCTCTCAACAATCCACGCCTCTTGCAACCAATCTCTCGCTAGCCATTGCAGCTGTCACTTTTGAAAAGTTGCGCTCTCTGTCGGTGGATCGCTCTCTCCCTCTCTCTATCTCTGTCTCTGTCTGCTGCATGCTGTAGCAATATTTTGGCGCATAATTCCCGCCCTGTGCTGTACATAAAATTTAATTAAGACGCATAAAGTTTTTCACACTTTGACACAAGCCCCAAAGCATATGCTCTGCTCTGCTCTGCTCTCGTCTCGTCTTGTTTCGTCTCGGCTGATGCCCAATCTTGCGGCCCCGATCTTGGCTCTGCCATTGCCGTCTTTTGGGGGAAAACTACTTTAGTTTGGCTTTGCGCGGAAACTTTTTGCTTCTGGCCAGGGCCAGGCCAGCGACGACGAAGTGTGAGGGAACGGACCAGAAAATAGCATAATTTCACTACTGGCAACACACTGGCAAAGCGGGCAAAATTACGCGCCCTGCTGAGCGCTTTTGTTAATTATGCCAGACTCCTGCAGGTCCTGGCAGGCGATGCTCCTTGTTGCCACTGGCACTGGCACTGGCACTGCCACTTCCACACTTTTTTGTTGCTTATTTTTCTTGGCAACCGCCAAAGTTTTGTTGCACAATTTGCTGCTTAAACAAAGCCAAAACAATTTAATTGTCACAGTCGAAAATTGCATCTTATGGCTGACTCTTCCGCCCCACCAACAAAGTAGAGACACAGATAAATAACCAAATGTGTATAGTGTAGGATTAAATCCAACCCAAATCCAGCCCATATGTATTTAAAACTTTTTCAATCAGCCATGTTCCTGGTGGAATCGAAAAATTCACTTCATTTTTCATGTGTGGTATACCTTGCTGTATTTTTTTTTTTTGGGAGGGGGGGGGGGGTGCTCTGTAATGAGCACAGGACATTCAATGGAAAATGTTGACAACTTTTGGCAGCTTGTTCGAGCTGATTTTCCACGACTTGTAATTGATTTCCCTCCCTGGCACGACTTGATGATTGTTGCGGATTTTTGGCTTTGGCGCGAGGGGAAAACCAAGTCCTTTTAAATTTAACAAACAAACGAAAAAAGAAACAACAACAAAAAATGGCAAAGAAAAGAAAAGAAATGCCTAAGAGCGTCACTTTGGCAAAAAGCCAAAATAGCACACAGAAGAACAGAATCCAGGGACAAGAACAAGAACTTTTGTGTGTGCGCTGACAAGAAGCCATGTTCTGTGGCTCCCACTTCTACTAAAAGGCAGCGAAAAAAAAGAAGAGGAAATATGAAAAATAAAGGAGCAGAGCAAGGGATAGAAACTATGTTACAACTGCTGGAAAAACTTGTTATCTTAATGGATATTTTGTAGTTCGTTTGTGGTTAAAATTGACTCACTCCAGGCAGGCAGAGGGGCACTTTCCTGCGACCAACAGATACAAAATAAATGCAACAATTTTCACATCTTGTTGCATTATCTGTCCACTGGTTTATCGCGCCTTTTGTATTGCTCCCCAGCAACCGCAATAAATTCTAATTCATTTAATTCTACAATTAAATCAACTTCCCTTCCCAATCTTATTATGTGTGTCTGTCTGTCCTTCCAAGTGGATTACACGAGTCGCTCGCTCGTGCCCAGAGAAATTCTCAAACCAACAAACACAACAAAAAAAGTTTGAAATTTAATTATGCAATCGGGGCTGTCGACAATTTCCTGTGCTTTCCGTGCCAAATCGAACTTAATTGAATTAAACTTTTACCTTTTGACACACCCTTTGTGGGGGGGGGCGGTTGCGTCTAATGAAACGGAAATCGCGGCGCATCCAAAATGAACTGAGAACTTCCACGAGCGGCCAAATTAATTCCACTTGAACTCAGAGGTTAGAGGTTACAGGTTACAGGTTACAGGTTAACCTTACATTTTATTCAAACACTCAACTGAACTTGATGACGATGCGCCTGTGCCACTTGGAATAGAGTATTTCCGTGCCCAGAATCATGAGGGCTATGCCATAGCTGAAGAGCAGTATCAACAGAGCAGAGCTTACGGTATCCATATCGACCTGGCATACAGCAGAAAGTTGATAGATCTTAGAGGTCTCAGCGGTGTAATCACTCGTTCACTCACATGCAAATCGGAGGTTTCAATTTTCTTCACACATGGCGGTTTCCTCGAGTGCCACACATTGAAGTGATATGTGAGTATGCCCGTCTCTGTGACACGTCGCAGGCTGCAAGAGAATCGCCAAACCCCTAGATAGAGCAGTTCCCCTCCTTCCCTAGCTGCATCCAACTTACCCATACGAGATGACCTTTCTCATGGGTGAATTCTTTTGCATAATGCACACCGTCTTCTGGGGCGGAAACATGCTCACTTCCGTCAGATCGCATATATCCTGTTCGCTGAAGGTCTCCGCTATGATCTTATAGGCAGCCGCCACATCCACATGAAAGGCAAAGCCTAAGCGAGAAAGTTTTCTGTACAGAATTCAGAGAAGTTTGTCCTTGGGCTTACGTTCATTTTTGACCCTATGCAAACCCGTTTCCGGATCCATCCAATTGCTGGCCGAATTATCCTTGGCATGGGCGCCCGTCTCATGGCTATGGACAATATCTCTATAGGATTTGGCGGGATCTGCTGTGGCTGCTGCTGCTGCTACTGGTGCCGGTGCTGGTGTGGCATCTGCTGGCTCATCCTCATCGGCCTCATTCTCTTTGGTGGTGGGCACACTGGTGATCTTCTTGGCATACAGCTCCATGGAAACTGGATCTTTGGTGTTCAGAAAGTAATCCCTATTATACAGTATATCCTCCATGCCCACACGCAGCGAACTGTGCACCAAATCGCTCAATGTTTTGATTGTCTTGGGCTTCTCCATGAGCAGCGTGCCCACAATACTGGCCGAATAGAACTGATAGATGCAGAAGGAGAACAGCAGACTGGTGATGACAATGCAGCGGCCCGACACAAAGCTCGTGGAGAAGCCCAATCCCTGCTGGCAGATGATGCCCACAAAGAACAGCACCGACTCCAAGAACAGACCCACGCGTTCCGGTGCCTGCCGCTTGGCTTTGCGTTCTTTCAGATAATTATTGAGCTTAAGGTAGCAGCGCTGCCACAGTGTTGACGGATCAATGGTGGCGTGTTCTTCTTTGTTTGATATTTCCGAAACAACATCCAACTCGGCCACTGACAAAGCGCTGACTGGACGCACACTGGCCTCCAGTTCCAGCTGCTGCAGCTGCTGCTGGACTTGCTGCTGCTGCTGCTGATGATGATGTCGTGGTGGTGCACCACCCTTGGGTTTGATCAACGCTGCACCATCCTGTGGCACCAGCTTCCACTCAATGGTGGTCAGAAGCCACAGAATGCACACCGTCACCACGCCACAGACCATGATCAGGACCCAGACATCGTTGGTGAACGGCTGCAGGAACACAATGCGATCCTTTTGCGTATTGCGCGGATGGCGGAAGATGAAGCACGGCCGACTCGACCAGCTGCGACCGGCCACATCGATCCATTTGTGCCGTTCCAGCCAGTAGAATATCGGCGCTCCGCCAATGTCCGTTTCGTTGCGTATGAGTGCCCCAATCATGCCATCGAAACGGCCGTTCTTCACATAGCCCCACGAGGTGGTGCGCGAGAGCACAAATGTCCAGTTGAACATGTCCCGCACGGCCATCAGGAGATTGAAGTTGAAGCGATTCATCGTATCGATGTGACCCGACACCGTGTGCGTTAGGTAGTACATCAGAGTGCCCGTCATATTCTTGTTGGTCACCTGCCGGTTAGTCAGATATCAGCCAGCCATCTCCATCCCCGATCCCCCACCCCGCAACCGTTGTCCACTCACCACAACCATGCAACGAACTTGGGCATGCTGCATATTCATGCGACGCCGCACCGTCGATGTCCGGCGATACCAGGCCTGCAATCGAACACCCTGTGACGGGGTGAAGCTGCCAATTTCCGTTCGATTGACATGTCCGCCATAGTTGAGGCCGGGGTTCCTAAGCGAAAGTCAAAACTCGAAAATCGGCACTCCCACGGGTAATGGGAATTAGTCTGGGGGCGAAGCAGTGATGATGATGATGATGCGATGATTGCTTGATTTGGCAACCAGACAGTTGCGTGACCTCTGGATGGTGTGCACCAGGAGCGGAGTGCCAGGAACTTTTGGGGTATGAACAGAATTTTGAGCTGCTGCGCGAAAGTGCAAGCTGTGGGAAGTTCTTTGGGGATGATGGCTTCGATCTAATGGGGCTTTCCTGCCCGTCTCCTCAAGCACTCACCACACATCATATAGCGTATAGTTGGCTGCCACAGACTTTCGCTTGGCCAGTGTCAATTCCGTGTTCATGTACAGGTTCAGGCCCTCCATAAAGTCCTCGATGGGTGGCAGCAAATCTGCTGCTTCCTCCTTTGTCCTTTGCAGTTGTTGGGCTTGCAGCTGCTCCGCCGCCTGATGGACCCCTTCCAGCCTGTGGAACAGTCCAAAATCCTCTATCAATAGCCAGTGAAACTTGTCGCTGTAGAGCCTCTTGGCGGAAGCCTTTGAAATAATTGCACTTGAGCACTTAATAACGCTGATGGGCTTCAGATGAGTCTGGGCAGGCTGCACAGACACAGACACAGGCACGGGGAGCACACTGTTGAAAGTCTTACCAGCTCGAGGAGGCGACGACTCTGGGCGCCGCATGCCAGATCCACGGCCACAATTTGCCTAAGGGCATCCACCGACAGCACGCTGTCCAGCCACTCGGCATGGCTCTGGGCCTGGCTCTGTGACTGAGCGAAACCGAAACCAAAACCCTGCTGCCCCCTGCCACCACCGCGCCTGGGGCCAGTGCCGGTGCCGGTGCCGCCCGTTTGTTGCAGCACATCCAGTCGCACAATCCGCACAAAGAGCTGGCTCCGGTGGAGGCTCTTAATCAGCTGCGCATTCTTGGCAGCGAATGCCGCACGCAGTGCCTCTCCATTCCCATTCCTAGTGCTGGTCTCGGGACTGCGGCACGTGAAGTAGGTTAACCGGGGTATATGCCGGTAGCGCACACAGAACTGCAGCAGGAGGCTGCTCTGCAGCACTGAAGTGCGCAACGGCTCCTGCTCCTGCTCCTGCTCCTCCAACTCCAACTCCAGCTCTAATTCCTGCTCCAGGCGCACTTCCAGGGCGCTGATTGTGATGGAGAGAGGCAGCAGCAGAATTAACCAATGCATCGCGTATTGTTGTAGACTGACATTGGAATTCCTTTGGCCAATGCCTTTATATACAGAAATACCGTCCGTAGGAGTATTAAGGGTATTGTGATTCTTCATTCCATTATTCATTTGGCTGTGACATTTGGCGGCTGTCAGAAATTCAATTGGACCATAAATCGCTCATTGGAATTTCACTTTTCTTGTCAACTGACACCGGTCGTCATTATTCAATTTCATTCAATTACATTTCATAATTCATGAGCCACGCCTCCGCTATGGCTACTGACACTGACTCTGACTCAGGGCCCGGTCCCGGTCCCGGGCCCTTGCCCATGAATATGCATAAAGGATGCGGATTGAACGGACTCTGAATCCGAATGAGGGTCGCTTCTGTTTGTGTGTGTGTCTCAAACCTCCCAAATCATTGTCCCTTGTGTGCCCTTTGTGTCCTCTGGGTATTCCCTACACTACGCTTTGTTGTGTACCGCGTGTGTGAGTGTGTGTGTGTGTGTGTGTTCCCATGTCATAAATTCGGACAGTTTGTCACTTTAATTGGATTTGCATGCCACAAAACGAAACAAAAGCAAGATTTATCCTAAAATACAAAACAAAACAAAACAAAAAATAGAAGTGGCTCAAAATTGAATTACTGCGCGGCAGGGGCAGCAGGGGTTCAGGCTAACAATTGCCACCAGCAGCAATCACTGCGAAAAATAGAGGAACTCCAACTATTGGCCACAGTTCTAGTTGGGCAAGATTTAAAGATTCCAAAAACATTTAGTGGAGCTGCAAAGGAAGCTGCAAGTGATAGACTTATCTTTTTTCCAAGTTAATTTGTTGTTAAATCAAACTTACCTTTAGGAGTGCTCAAGAATTTTAAGTGATTTATTTTATTATTATTTTGTTTAAAATTTAAACATAATTTTTACCTATTTAAAGCTTTTGGGAGTTTTCTTGCTCTTTCATTTTTTACGTATTTCCATTTCCATTTCCCTTTGCTTTCCTTTCCTTCTTTGCTGCTTAGCTTTTTGACTAATGCCAACTGCTGTTTGTTGTTGCCCTTTCTGATTTTCAGGTTTTTTGCCTTTTTCCACATTTTTTGCGGTCAAGAACAAAGTCATATTTCCTTATTATCTGTGCCACCCTCGTAATACCCCCGCCCTGACCTGGTCGAAAAAAAAAATGGAATTATTAATGGCATTGTCCATTTGCTGCTAAGTGGCGCAAATTACATTTTTGTTTATTTTTCCTCTGGACTCCTCCTTTGGCCTTGGGGCGAGGGCGGGGGGTTTCTTTTTCTTGTTTTTGGTTTCTATACTTTTTGTTTATTGTTTCCACGGCCCACAATATATTTTTTGGTGTATGGCTTTTGGCGCTCGTTGAAATCCTTAATTGTACTTGGCGCCAAAACGCGTTCGAGCGCATGGCTTTAATGGGCTTCAACTTGAGGTGTGCTTTGTGTGTGTGTGTGTGTGTATGTGTGTGGGGGGATGCTTCACTTACCTTTTGGCCATTATTTAGTTGGTCTTTAACAGCAGCAGCAGCAGAAGCAGCAACAGAGGATCCTTCAGCATCCACAGTGGAGGGAAGGGCATTCTTTGAACCTCACTTCTCCTCACTGCACAGCAATACGTATGCGTAATATTTTCCAAGTGCTTTTTGGTAAGCGGATTGTAGAGTTTCTGAAGATCTTATAGAGAAGTTTTTGCAGCTTTTCGTTTTTCTGTATTTTTTCTATATTTTTTTCTGTATTTTTTCTTTGCGTAAAGTACGAGGCAAAGTCTTCCCTGCCTGCCTGCCCCCCTAATTCAATTAAATATGCTTACACCTATGTACCATGCGAGCTTATGGCTTACATAAGGTGGGTGGGTGGTCGGCCTCTCCAGTGCAGATTGTGAAGTGCCTGGGAAACCGGAGGCGAAGTGAAGGCCCTTCAGTGGCTGCTTGAGCATTCATTTGCCTTTTTGGTGGTGGCCGTTGTGCACTCTGGAAAGTGCAACTAAACTGTAAAACTGTCCATAATGAGTGGGTTAAGAGTGGGTCACGTTTGCCTTGGCCTAACCAGAGTGGCCAATAAAAAGCGACAACGACACAAAACGACAGGCGACAGGCGAGGACAATTTTCAAACAAGAAGTTTGTCCCTCAAACCCCAAAGAAACTTTTCATAAAAGGCCGCCGCCGCCGCCGCCTCCGCCCCCCCCTTCCAAACTGCCCTTCAGGCCCACTCTTTTTGCGTGCACTGAATATTGGCCAAAGTGTCAACGGCAGTGCCAACTGTGGGGGAACCACTCTAACCCGCTCTCTCTCTCTCCCACTCTCTCTGTCGCCTGGTTTATGAGCCCAGTCAGCCCCAAAGCCGCCTTTGTCCAAAGGAACATTGAGGGGAAGGAAGCCAAAAGCCAAGTCCAGAACAAAACCGCAACAAAGGCGTGCAAAAGTACAAAATGAACAGGCGGCAAACAGTGGGAGCAGAAGGCCGCCCAGCAGATTGGTCTGCATAGAAGGGGCATCCAAGAGAAGCCACTAAAGAGGGATAGAGAGAGAGAGAGAGAGAGTGTTTGTGTGCTGCTGCTGCTGCTGGTGGTGGCTAGGGAAGTGGCCTACCAACGACATTTGCATGCAAATGATGCAGCACTTGCAGCAGCTTTCAAGGCAGCACCAGCACCAGGGCCAGCTGCAGGAGCCAGTAGCCAATAGCAAGGAACTGTACCTGCAGCCAGAGTGAACCCCAGAGAAGTCCCAGTCCCAGTCCGAGTCGAGTCAGCAGATGAACTTGTTTTGTGCTAATGAGATCAGCATGCAAATGCGCCAACTAAGGAGCGGAAATTGCAATGCAAGAAGTGTACGGATAATGGGTCGTCGTGCCCACTTACAGCTCCATTGCGAAGCTTTTTGAATGCTTTCGCTTTTGGATGCCAGGCACACTCACACGCAAATGGCCAAGGGTGGGAATTATTATGACAAGTCACATTAATCAAGGAAGGGGACCTCCAAAAGCAAAGCAAAGCAAAGCTCCTTCGCTCTCTTTCTCTCCTCGCCTGATGATGATTTCCATTCAACTCAATGAACACTCGAGGGAGGTAGCCATCACAGCAGGTTAATGGTAATATTTCTTACAGTTGAGCGACTCCACACATATGCTGCATGCAATTCAAATTACACTCACAGCGGCAGTAGGGTATGACGATTGTCCACAGATGCTTGCAGCACACACAAAGCAATCTGGCTATGTGACTCAGACGCTGGTTTTCTTCAGGAGGGTATCTAGAGTGGGCCTTCAGCTTTCAAATCAAAACTTAATTTCTTATTCCTTGTCTCAGCTACGCCGCCTTACGTTTTCACTTGCTTTCACTTGCCCAAGGACTTGCACACTTTATTCTTGCGCTATCTGGCGACATTTTCGCGCAGCCTTGATGATCAAGTTGACAAACAAATATTAATAAGTATAAGGGAAAGCTTTTATCCTTGAAACGTAACAGTCGCAACAATCAGTCGAAATAAACCAACAACAAAAATGCCCCTGCTGCATTTTGTGCCCTGGAGATATTCGAATGCGAATGCGAAATATTCCTTTGTTGTTCCTTTTTTTGGTGTTTGGTGTGTGCAGCTGACTTGACAGACAGCTGTGACATTGTTACACAAAAAGCCGAAAGATGAATGCTGTTGGCTGTGGCTGGGCTCTGTACTCGCTGTCAAGGGGCTTGGCAAATGCCATTTAAAGTGAAAGTCCAATTGAAAATGGGTTGAAAATATGCAGAAAACAGTAGAAAAATCAGGGCAGGAATATTTGGATACAAAATGTAAATTAGACATTAAATTATAGTCATAATATAACGAGTTTATAGCAAATTTCTGCACACCCAAAGGGCGCATCACCTTCATTGAATTTCCTTATCTCTTGCTCTGCTTTCTTTGTGGCACTTTTCCAGCAAACCAACTATATTTGATCTTAATATTTCCTTTCTTTCTTCGGCTTCTGACACTGCTCTCATTCGCTGTCCCTGCCCCAGTCCCAGTCCCTGTCCCTTTCCCAGCCCCTGTCGCTGTACCATTCTCAGTCATAACTATAATAGCATTAAATAAATCACAGTGCAATCTTGAAGCGGCTGTTTTTCCCCCCGCCCCGTTTTCTTTTTGCCTGATTCCCTTCTGGCTTTCCACTTTAGCCTTTTCTCTGCTCCACCCCCCGCTGTGGAAAGTTGCCGCCGTCAACTGAAAGTCGCGTTGAGTGCATTCCGTTGATTTATAATAAAAATAATGTTTAAAACATATTACAACATCATAATGAAAGAGGGCGACGAATCGGTAAGGGGAGAGTGAAAGAGAAAGATCTTAAGGGACGTGGGGGGACAGGGGGAAAGAAAGCGCTGGGGAAAACGCTTCGTAAACAAGTTTCGAGTGAAATAATAAAATGCGCTTTTTATGCATTTTCTCCCATGGGCTTCTAAGCCTGCTCCACTCTCTCCCCGCTCGACTCATTCTCTTCCACTCTCTCTCGGCATTCTCAGGCACCTTTTGTATAATGCGTGTTATGTAATAGTTTACTCTGCCCCACCGCTTCCCTGTGCCAACCAGCCTCCTTCCTACCTGCCTTTGCTGCACCCACCCTACCTTGGGCAAGCTGTCGTCGTCGCTGCACGCTGCTCGCTTCTCGGCAAAACTTGGAAGCGTTAAAAAATTCCCACCATATTTTCCTTTTTCCCTCCACTTTTTTTTTCATACCTACCTATTAAGTGTAGCAAAGAAGGGTATATTTGTTTTATGAAAGTAACAGAGGGGATTTTATGTTAAAGAGTAGAATTTCCCGCATTATAGTTTCGATAATTTCCAAAGGCCCAATCGCCCGATTAACCTTAATTTCTTGCCCATTTACAGGGTAGCACAGGGTCGTAATGTTGACTGCGGCATTCTCATGGGTTTGCTTTTGTTGCAGCATAAAACTTTTCATCCAAAGCGACATCCTCGTCGCCTGCACCACTTAACCAGGTAAATGCTCAGTGAGGGGGGGTCGGGTTTG